AGCAGCAAAAATCCACAAAGGAAAAATTTCCAGAAAGAAACTAGCAACAAAACTCTACAAAATGTAGTTCTTCCACCTAATGCATTGCCCTTTTCAAAGATACCACGGAGGCTGTGGCCACCTCTGTTTACGTCCTCAGTGTCACAAGTGGAAGTTGTCTAGTGTCTCTGGCTTTATCCCAGCATTCCCATCAGGTTCTCTTCTTCCTGACCCGTCCACATGGAGGCCCCTCGAGAAGTGCTGCCCCTTAATCAGTGTGCTGCCCTAAGTATAGGTTGCTTCTATCAGCATTTCTTCCAGCCCCTGCCGTAATGATAAGGCACCCCGGCGGCACAGTGGTTACAGGTTGGGCTGTGATCCACACGATCAGCAGTTCACCACCGCCAGGTGTTCTGCAGGAGAAAGGCAGGGCTTCCTACTCCCGTCAACAGAGACAGTCTGGGAAACTCCTGTAGAGTCGCTATGAATTGACCTTGGCTCGGTGACAGTGAGTTACAGTTTTACGTTGTTGTTGTTTCTTGGCTTGCCTTCATGGAAATGTGGTGACTCTCTAAGAGCGTGAACGTCCCCATGCAGCTTTTTCAGGGGGCACCTCTTTATTGTCTCACATCCTCGGGTGCATGTAGGGCAGGGAGGGGGAATGTGAGGCCCATGGGCCACCATCAGGACCAGCTGATCTCACAGGCCTCACCAAAGAGAAGCTGCCCCAGCCATCACATGAGGGTGAGTTTGACCACGATGGCCCTCGAATGATTTTATACATATCCAAATGCCCCTAGGCAGAAAGAGGGTTGCCCACCCCATGGTTTAGGGGTTGGGAGGTGAAATCCCTCTTAGAAGGGCCACGTAATTTATCATGTGGAGAACCCACTGGAGAAGGAAAGTAGGTTACTCATTATCTTGGGTCGACCAGGATTTATGTTCATGGTTAATAAATTACCATGACTTCAGTGCCTTAAAACAAACACCACAAATGTGTCTCCATTTCTGTAGGCCACATGTCCAGGCATCCCGTGCCTGGAGCCCTCTGTCTCAGGTTCATCCGTGGTGGTCACTTCTGCTCTTCCTTGCCATGAGACCCCCAGGGGTGGTTCACAAGCCAGCAGGGGATTTCTCCCTGCATGTCTCTCTGTCTCGCTTTTCTGCCACTAGCCAGGTGAAAAATAAATCTGCTTTTAAAAGGGTTCCTTGGATGAGGCCAGGCCCAGCCAGGATAAATCTCCCTTTGCCATCAAACGTCCCATACTCAAAGGTACCATCTGAATAGGTTAGCTCAGCATGTTCACAGACTCCATCTACACCCAAAGGGAAGGCAGAGATTATTCCAGGACATAGGGCACTCGTGTCCTCCTAGAGCTTTGTCCCTCCAAGTCCCCCTTGCTATTTGTCTCTGTGCTCTCTGCCTGGCCACTGTTAGATCATTATACAGTAGAACCCTGGACCTCGACTCTAATCTGTTCTGGAAGGAGCGTGGAGATGCAATGCAGTCGAGTTCCGAATCAATGTTTCCCATAAGAAATAACTGAAAACTGTTATTAATCTGTTCTCAACCACCAAGATTTCACCCTAACCTTGCCTTTTTATACAAAACATTCCACAGAAATTTCAAAGTAAATAAGTTCAGAGTTAAATAATATAATTTAAATAAGAAACACATTTAAAAAGTTTTTTAAGAACTACAATATGGATACCTTGAGACGGATGAGGGTTTGGATCTGTGGACACGGGTGTGGAGAGGAGGGATGGAGAGAGAGTCAGTGTTTGGAAGGGGAATCCCCTTCCATCAAATCAACTGGTAGCTGCTTTTCAGGAGTTTTATTCCTCCCTTGCCTTTTACCACTAGGACCTAGCTGGCTTTCTCTTAAAAAAAAAAATCTGACTAATGTGGTCTGCTGTTGGCATTTCCGTAACTGTTTTCTAAAAGGGTTTACTAAATTATCATCAACAATATCAATAACAGAGTTAACCAGTTCCTTCCGATGAGATTCTTTTCAAAAAACTCTTTCTTAGAACCACTTTTTAAAATCTAAAAACTGTACAAAAAGCCACAAAAACTAAGAAAATTGTAGCCAAAACGCTTAGAATACAGCTGCAAAAGGTCTAAATAACTGGTACTAACAAAGCTAACTAACGCTGAGTGACCGCAACACTAACTGCTTTTGTTTTAAAAAATCACGTTCACCGGTTGGATTCCGATGTTTAGTTTGAACTCTGAGGCAAACTTTCCTTGACATTTTACGTTGAAATCTGCTTATGTTGAGGACTGATGTGGTCCGGGGTTCTGCTGTATCCTGAATGGCTTGGCTTTAAAAAAAAAAAAAAAAAAGCAATGCTTTGGGATTTAGCCATTTTAGCACCGAGGTCCTCGTGCCTTTTCACGGTTGTCATCACCTCACCTGTCTCTCTGGTTATGCCCCCTCACTCACCTCTGGTCACAGCCCTCTGGGGTGATTCCCTACCCTTTGTATAGGAGCCCCGTCACACCCTGATGTCAAAGCTCCTGCACTTGCTTAGCTCTGAGGATCTCCTCCTCCGCAGGACCTCAGCCACCCTGCTCCTGCGGTTCCACGTTGAGCCTTCTCCCCCTGGTACTGCTCCCCTTCCACTCCCACTGATGCAGAGTCCTGATTCCGATGACATACAACGTTCCATAATTGAAGGAGCGATCTGCACATGTTAGCTCATCATGTTCACAGACTCCATCTACGCTCAAAGGGAAGGAGATGATCCAGGATGTGGGTCACTAGTGTCCTCTTAGAATTTTGTCCCTCCCGGTCACCCTTGTAATTTGTCTCTGTGCTCTCTGCCCGGCCACTACCATGCCAGTTGGTTTGTTCAGCTGCTCTCACAAAGATCATCTTTGATCCACAACCCCTTTCTTCTCTCGACTTCTTATCCCTCGGACATATGGCCCTTCAATCCTCACCATAAACTCCATTTCCCTGCCATTCCTATTCATCTGTCAGCCAGAACCACCCACTAGTCTATTTGCTTCTGGAGAGAGTTATACGGTGGAGCAGATGGATAGAAAAGATCAATGGAATGTCCAGAAACAGACCTTCCATTTCTTGTCACTTGATATTCAAGGGTGGGACCAAACCAGTTTATTTCTTTTCTTAAAGAATAATCTCATCCACAAGTGGTTCTGGAAAAAGTGGAGATCCATTTCCAGAAAAATAAAACAGGATCCAGATCTCTCACCTTATACAAAGATGATTTCAAGGTGGGTTACAGATTTAAATGTAAAAATTAAAACTATAAAGATCATCAAAAAAATAAATGAGGACAAATTTGGACTTGATACTCAAACCAAAAAAACCCCACTCCCATCAGGTGGTTTTTGATCCACAGTAACACTCTATAGGGTTTTGGAGGCTATAAATCTTTATAGGAGCAAATAGCCTTGACTTTCTCCAGTGGAGCAGCTGGTGGGTTTGAACTACCAGCTTTGCTCCAGCACTGATGGCAGTGTCCCCATGGCTCCTTGGCCCTAGTAGATAATACAAATCTACTATTCAACAGAACCGAAAAGGCAAACAGAACAGAAGGAAAACTAGACTACTGTGCCCTCCTACAAAAGTAAGCATTTTTAGGAATCAAGATTTACCCCAAAGAGTGAACAAGAGATTGGTTGGGGGGGGAGGTCATTAAAAAAAAATTTTTTTTTTTTTGTAATGACATACGGGAGGGAACAAATCTCTAAAATTTGTAGACAATCGTCAGTACCTAACAACCAAAAGACAAAAGTCCAATTAAAAACCGAGTAGAAGAATGAGCAGACACTTCACCAAAGACACTCAGGTGGCCAAAAATAATCACTCACCATCATTAACCATTCTCCAAATCAAACTCACGGCCAACAAGTGATTCTGACTCATAACAACCTCATACAACAGAGCCGAACTGCCCCTGTGGGCATCCAAGTGTTTAAATCTTTATGGGGGCAGGCAGCTGAACCTCTCTCTTGTGGAGCAACTGGTGGGTTTGAATCACTACTTAGTGGCTCAGTACATAGCCCACTGGGCCACTAGGGATGAGACATGCAAATCAAATGCAATAAGGAGATATCATCTCACCTTGGCATAAATAGGAAAGTTTTAGTTTTTGTTTCTAAAGGAAAACGACAAATGCTCGCTAGAGTGTGAAGAGACTGGAACCTCCATCCACCCCTAGTGGGACAACAGTGGCCCAACCCAAGTGGAAAATGCTATGGCACTTCCTTTAAAATACCACCTAGTCCAGCAATCCTCCTATTGGGTATCCATCAAAAGTAAGAGCTATGACAGAAATAGGGTTATGCACACTAATGTTCACCATGGTCCTATTCACAGTAGCACAGGAAGGGCAACAACTTCAGTGTCCATCAGCCGAGTGAATAGATGACCATTTATATACAACGTTGTCCGGTACCATGGAGTTGGTTCTGACTCATTGCAACCCTATGTGCAAACGTAAGGAAACACTGCCCAGTCCTGTGCCCTCCTCACAATCGCTGCCCATCGTCATTATAGCTCCTGTGTCAGTCCGTCTTATCATGAGTCTTTCCCCTTTTGGCCTGCCCCTCCCTCTACGTGGCCGAGCGTGATGTCCTTTGCCAAGGACTGCTCTCTCCTACTAACAGGAAAGAATGTGAGATGAAGTCACACCGTTCTGGCCTCTAGCGAGCATCCTGGCTGTCCTTCCAGGACAGATTTGTTTGTTTCTACCTTAAAGTATAATGAATCTGTGTGACGCCTCATACAGAGACAGAACCAGGGTACATTGTGCCAAGTGAAATTAATCACAGCAAGGCAAATAATTACATGAAAGCACTGCTGTAGAAAGCTGAGAAAAAGATTTCTACCCAGAAATAATGGTTCTCTGAAGAGAACCAGGGATGAGAGGAAGGGAGGGTAAATCGCTAACCAGAGGGTAGATACATATTAACCTCAGTGAAGGGAAAGGCAAAGCACAGCATGGGGGAGGTCAGCGTCAGAAGCTCAAGGCCAAGAGGAACTCTGGGAAGAGTGTAGAGGTAAATACTGTTAGGGATCCCACCCTGCACTGACTGGACTAGCCATCACCGGTGAGTGAGTCTATGCTGATAGACGTTCCTGCCCAACAGGAGTGGAAAGGTGAACGGGACTACACCCACAGATAAAAGGGACTTCCAACAGTTTATGGGAGAGTGGAATGGAAAGATCATGGAATTTTCCATGCATTTGTTAAAGCCCCCTCACATGACGTACTTATATGAAACGTCCCCAAATAGCTAAATCCACAGAGACAGACAGACCAGTGGTTGCTAGAGATTGTGGGGAGGGAGGAACAGGAATTGACTGCTCATGGGTTCAGGGTATTTGGGGGAGGTGATGAAAACGCCCTAGTGATGGCATGCTTTTGCAAGTGACTATATTAAAACTCAGTAAGTCATACGCTTTACAAGAGTGAATTTAATGGTATGTGAATTACCTCTCAGTGAAATTGTTATTAAAGAATACAATTAGCTGGTCAGGGAAAGGTTTTTGAAGACTAACACTTACGCTGAGATGGGAATGACTCATTTGAGATTGGTGGTCATGAATTCAAAGTCAGACCAGCCGACGCTGTTGTGTATTTTGGGCCTGTCATTAAATGCGTGGGCACAGAGTGGCTGGAGTTGGAGTTTTGCCAGAAGAGTAAGAATAGAACCAAGGAAGAGAGTGGACAAGGGGAGTTGGACAGTGTGCAAAGGACTGAGTATTGTCATGGGTGGTGGACTCTATGTCCATTATTAATTCCAGAGGGCATGACGGAGCTGACGGACACTGCAAAGCTGGCAGGTCCCTTGTGGTATAGGTCTCACAGGGATTGTAGAAATGTTGGGGGAATAAAAGGTGTGAGTTAGCAAGAAGTTGGGATGAGCCAGGGTTGCTTAAAATTGAGATTTCAGATGCTGCACAGTAATTGCTATGGGTTGGAAATGGCTCAGCGGCCGTGAGTTTGGTTCGGAATTAGTTCAGTAAGATCCTCCGGGATATGACTGAAAATGGTCAGAGCGGGAGCGAGGTTGTTGAAGTAGAGGGAGGCACTCAAGAAGAAGCAATCAAAGAAGACTTGTGTACCGGTTTTGCAAAGCTTTGTAACAAACTGCCTTAAACTTGGTGGCCCAAAACAACAGAAATTTATTCTCTCACAGTTCTGGAGGCCGGAATTTTAAATGAAAGGTGTTGGCAGGACCAAGCTCCTTCTGAAGACTCTACAGGAAAATACTGACTTTGCTTCTTCCACTTTCTGGTGGTGGCTGCCGGCATTCGTTGACTTGTGGCTATATCACTCCTAGCTCTCTCTGCAATGCTGTATTGTCTCCTGTCTTTTCTCCGTGTTTAGTTGTTTACAAGGACATTGTTTATGATATTTAGGACCCATTGGAATAATCCAGGAAAAGATTATCCTCTCAAGAACCTTGACTTCGTCACATATTTACTCTTTCTGTGTATCTATTTCATTTGTATGTTCAGGGTTTGCCACCCTACGTAATACGCACAGGTTCTGATGATTGGTATGTGGGCACATCTTTTGAGGGGGGTTGTCCCTCAACCCAGGAGAACCATTGGAAAGATGAGCAACATGGATGTTGAAACCAATAAGAATTATGACGTAAGTACTGTTGGAATTAGTCAGTGGGCTATGAGCTAAAACGTTCAAGGTTCAGAACTCGGGTTTTAAGGCAAAGAGTAAAGGAAGACAGAATAAAGGATCTGAGAAGGGTGGTGGAGCCCTAGGGCTCTCTCCTATCTGGATACCCGTGGGAAAGGAAGTAGCTGCCTCTAGAAATGGCTACAAAGCAAGCAGCGGCCCCAGGGAAGGCCACAGGAAAGGGGAGGCAGTAATCGGAGAGGAGGGCTGGCAGGTAGGGAATTTGTTGTTGGTGGGCTGTGAAGACAAGTAGAGAGGTTTTGCTGGGTTGGGAATTAGTCGGAGATGGGGTCTTGTGCAAGAAGTTGTATTGAGCCTTATGGGTGTGGGGCTCCAACTGGGATTCTTGGATTTCTTAGGAAACACGCATAGCCTGGGATAAAGGTTGGGCTGGAATTAGCCTCCGAGAGCCAGTCTTCAAGGCAAACATGGTGGTGGGCTGGGAGGGTTCTTTGGGAGAGTGTTGCTAGGATTCTGCAGAGTTCTGGGTTCCTCTGTTATGGTGGGGTGGAGGCCTGGGGAGGAGGGCCTGAAAGGCTCCTCACTTAGCGGCCCTAGAACTCACCTGACTGCCTCACTGGCCAGGTGCCTCCCTCTGGAATTCTGAACTCTCTGAAGCCATCTGAGGGGTAGAAGGGATAGGCTAGAGGTATTCTGACAGCATCTATAAGCACTTTCAGTAGGTTGTTTGTGTTGCTTTTAAACATTGCTCTTTTCTGGAACTGCGCGCTGTTTCATTCTAGTGTGATATTTGGATGCACTATTTATTCTGGAACCCAACAACAGCTGCAGAAGTGTTGAGTGTGGAAGCAGAACATGCGGAACGAACCCAGCTGTTAACTTAAAATGCTTATCAAAGAAAGTATTGGCATGTAGTTTATGAAATAATAAAGTTTTTTTTCCCCCAACTGATTATTAGAGCAAATTCTTGGCATCTCTGTGAGCAAAAAGATGACAGGGAGACTTCCCACGGCAGAGGAGTGTGTGGCATAACCCAAACCGAGCTGCTCCTCAAATGAGCTATTTCCTCCAGCAGTCATCACTTACCCACAGACCTTTCTCCAGCGTTTGATCTACTTTGATTCATACAGGTGGCCACCAGAGCTGAATGGAGAATGCGTATCCAACTGCCATGTGTAGAGAGGATCAGAGGGTTCTGTGTGACCCAGGGACTTGAATTGCTCGTCTGTGTCTGCATTAATTCAAACATAACAAGAGACCCTTACCCGTGCAACTAGTGCTTTCTGAGGCCTGTAAGTACAGATTTAGGATAAAACGGTTTTCCCAAATAAACTTAAGGCATGCTATTCATTACATTTTATCTCCATTTAGTGACTAAAATGGCTATTTAGGAAACATTTATGTATTATTCACTAGTTAAATCTTGATCACCTACAATAAGTCAATGTAAAGACCCAAATCCTCACAGCTGGACCAGTAGGTAGCATCTTGATAAGTGGAGAAAGGGTTGAAGTTGTCAAGGATTATGTCTTCCTTGGATCCATAATCAGTGCTCATGGACGCAGCAGTCAAGAGAGCAAAAGACACATTGCATTAGGTAGATCTGCTGCACAAGACCTCTTCAGAGGATTGAAAAACAGGGCTGTGACTCTGAGGACTAAGGCCCAAGCCATGACATTCTCTCTCTTTTTTTTTTCCCAATCATTTTATTGGGGGTTCCGTCCACTGCGTCAAGCACATTTGTTGGCCATGGCATTTTCAATCGCCTCATTTGCGTGTAGAAGTTGTACATTGAATAAGGAAGACCGAAGAATGGATGCCTTTGAATTGTGGTGCTGGAGAAGAAAGCCGAAAGTACCACAGACTGCTGAAAGGACAAACCAATCTGTCTTGAAAAAGGTGTAACTAGAATGCTCCCTGGAGGCAAGGATGGCGAGACTGTGTCTCACATACTTTGGACAGGTGGTCAGGAGAAACCAGTCCTCGGAGAAGGACATCACACTTGTAAAGCAGAGGGGCAGCAGAAAAGAAGGCCCTCCACGGGGTGGTCGGACCCAATGGCTGCAACACTGGGCTCCGGCATCGGAGCAACTGTCAGGACGGCACAGGACCAGGCAGTGTTTGTTCTGTGTGTACGTTCGCTGTGGCTGGAGCAGATTCTGTGGCACTCAACAACCACAAAAATAAGTCAGCTACAGGTCCTTGGTATTTGTGGGGACATTTACACTGCTTAATACAATGCAAATAGCTTCCTTTTTGCCTCGGCGGGATGCTTCTGACCACTGGATTGCTTCCGGATGCAACGCAGTCTTTTCTCCCTGAGGTCGGTTGGGTCTGAGCAGGCGGAGCCTGTGGACACGGAGAGTCTGCAGCAGCCGCGTTCTCCAGAGTGAGTCTCCGGAGCCGCCCTCCTGCCTCTCGCCGTGCCCTCTCTCTAAACCTGTTCACACTCCCCGGGTTTAGATACTTACCCTCTGCCATGCCGGGCAAGGATAGCTTTCTGTAGTTCTTCATTCCAGCCCAGCCGCCCCGCTAGGTCCAGACTCCTCTGGTCTGTGGACAGACCATCCTGAGATCTCAAGGCTGGTCCACAAGGGCACTACAAAAAGGTCATTGGACAAATTCCACTCGCTCTTATTTTCAGTTTTCCACAAACTATTGGAAGCCCCCTCGTATATGATTCTAGTCGACTTTCAATTTCCTGGAACATCTAGGTAGACAGTTGTATTGGCTGTAGAAAACAATAGCGTCATTATTTTCCAACAGTTATCTCTCATTTTGTTGGGATTATTATTTACCTCTTTGTTTTGACAAGAACTGCCAGAGCCGTGTTTCCTAAAATTTCCTGAAAAGAGTCATCTGGACTGGTTGTTAAATATACAAAACACCAGGCTTCTATCCCTGGGAATTTTAATTTAGCAAGCCTGAGTTAGGGCCAAGGAATCTGCTTTGTTTGTGCCTTTTAAATAAATGCCCCAGAATTTTTGTTTTTAAAAAATCATCAGGCAAGTTTTTGGAAATGCTGTTTCCGAGTGTTGCTAATAGCAGTGACAATAGTCTGTTGTTCCTGACTGTGGCGTCTCATTAACTGCTGGCCCGCTTCCTACCTGACCAGAATTTATGGCAGGCTGTGCCCGAGTGTAGTCATACAGTGGGAAATCTAAGCCAGGCAAAGAGCTTCTCCCCCATATTCAGCCAATAAATATTTCAAGTGTTTGTTCTGGGCAGCCCTGGTGGCGGGCATAATGGGTTATGAATAGGGCTTTGAACCACATCCCCAGCAGTTCCACCGACCTTGGCAGGTTGAGACCACCAGCCATTGCACAGGAGGAAGAGGAGCCTTTCTGCTCCTGTGAAAATGTCCAGTCTTGAAACCCACGGGGGGCAGTGCTGCTCTCTTCTGTAGGCTCACTGGGAGTCAGAATTTACTCGATGGCAGTGAGTTTGGATTTTGGGTGTGTCTGTTATATCCCAAGCCCTGGAAAATGCTGGGATACAAGAAGAGCACATAGCAGTCGACTTCGTTTTCCAACCCTCCTCCTCTCTAATTCCACCCTGACATACCACATGTCTTTCTTTACCTTTAATGCCTTTGAATCTGTGATTTGCTCTTCTCCCCACCCTCTCCCCCTGCCCTCAGGATTTTTTGGGGTGTGTGTGTCTAACCTTAAATAGTATACCGACTCTCATGGATGGAATGCCTGGAAATGTCAGTCTGTTGATAGTGAATGCCCATACATCTTTTACTGGTTTTTCCTGAAAGAAAAACTGGAAGCATGTGCTGCGAGGTCACCTGCAAGCACACTCAACCCCCAAAGGAAGCCAGCTGCCCCTGAGCCACTTTGGACTGATGGACCCAGGCGTGCAGAGTTCAAGTGCGTTCCATAGGGATTCAAGACTGTGACCTATTGAAGTGGATCGCTGGCCCTTTCTCCCCACGCAGCACCTGGTGGGTTCAGACTTCCAGTTAGTAGGGGTGTTAAGTTAGATTGACTAGAGAAAAAAAAATCCAGTGACACTCAACATATGTAGAAGAAAGAGCTTTACATCAAGAAATAATTACATATCAAGAAAGCATCTCAGCACAGTCCAACTCAAGTCTATAAGTCCAATATTAGTCCATAACTCCCTCTTCAGATTCCTGTGGCCACAGGCGATGATGATGCAGAATGCTGGAAGATCACAGGCTGGTGGGTGCAGAGTCATGTGGATCCCAGGTCAGTGCAAATCTGGCAGGGCTCTGGCAGCTCTCAGGGTGTCCTGCAAGCAGGAAGGTGAAGTGGGAGAGAGAAAGGAAGAGGTTCACAGCATCTTCCTTACGACAAGACCATGTCCCAAGGAGATAGCCTCAGACTGTGGCATGACTGACAGGTCTGACTCCACCCTTGGCCAGGAGTGTCTAGCTGACATAAAATCATTTAACTACCACATAGGCAATTTCATGAACCAGGCATTCCTGCCAACACACTAGAGGGAATAAAACTGGTGGTGGCGGGGGTGGGGGACAGACCCGGGGGAACTCTTGGCAGGCCACAAACTGATGGATCCCCAAGGGGAGTGAATGGCACTATTTGCAGAAGGAGGCCTTGGTACAAAACAAGAACAGGCTCGTACTGCTGCAAAATATGGACGCAACACCCAGAGTGCTGTCCTATTTTGGGGTGTTTTTTTTTAACAACATCTCAAACTGGACTCCCATATAGAAAACAATACATCTATTTGAAGATGAGCTCCTGGCCAAAAATTGCCCCTGAAGAAGGCTCATCATCAGCAACCGGAAATCAGCAGAACCGTCTGGGAGAGGATCGGCAAAGACAGTAAGTGGGTATGTAGCAGGCGCTGAGCTTTAGAAAGGAAGCCAAAACCTGTGGAAGCACAGCCTGCATAATGGGGAAGCCCGTCAGGAAGCAAGTGCCCTGTTCCTCACCCTAGCTCACCGCAGAACAGTGCTGAGACTGGACCTGCCGAAGGCCCTGTGGCGCTCCTGCCCGCACAGTGAAACCACCGGGAACGTTTTTTCAAAAATCAAATAGGTAAAATTAGGAATAATTACATTTAAAAAGAGAGAACAGGCTGATAGGAAAAGGGGCTAAATTAGATTTCTAGAAATAAAAAATATTAAGGTTAATCTCAGTAGAGAGGTTAAACAGATAATTATAGATGGCTAAGTGAAAATTAAGGGCTGAAAATAGCTCTGAAAAGAATTAACCAGGATACCGAACACAGAGAAAGAAGATGGAAAATGTGGATACGATGAAGAGATTTGATGGAGAGCACAGAAAGGTCAGCAATTCTGGTGATCCGGTCCAGAGCAAAGAAGAATGGAGAGATTCCCAGAAACGAGTGTTCGCCGCCAGCAGACGATTGCTGAAGGAACGAGGAAGGGGTAGACTTTGGCTGGGGGTGGGGTGGGGGTGGGCAGGGGCAGTTGGAACAAGAAAGAAGAAATGAGATGTAAGAAGAAATCATGCACAGTAGAGTCAGCAAATGTGGGACAATGCAAGTCATGTCAAATGTTGAATAATAGCAATAATGGCTATGATGAGTTGAAAATGAGATGCAACCAAGATATCAAAAACTGTCATGAATATGGGCTCAGGGCATGATTAGAACTAAAGCCTTTCAAGGTACAGTACTGCGTTTTAAGTTGAAGATGCTGATTAAAATTGTGGCAAGTGTTCATGTTGAAATAGAGGCGGCTCCTGATTTATCTGCGGCGCTGACAGGCTTTGAACCGCGGGCCTCTACTGAGGAGTATGGGTCCCCACAGCTGGATGCCTCCGAGCTCAGCTTGATGCACTCAGAGAGGGTGATCTAAAGTAAGAGTGACAGGAAGAGCCTCAGAGGTACGAATCCTGAGCTTTTCCACTAGGCTGGAAGGCTCCCAAGTGTCAGGGCCTGTCAGCATAGCATATACCTTCAACTTATGACGGTGCTGTGCAAGGAATTAG